CTGCAGCCTGGCCTCTCCTGCTGGCTCTGGGGTCCCGGCTGCCAGTCCTGCACACTGGGGAGGGGCTGGAATCCGCTGCCTGCCCCCCAACCAGGGCTCTGTGTGCGCGTGGGGGGGACACGTCAGCACCCCCACTCCTAAGACTGTTCCCACGTCAGCGGAGAGGAGGGCGTCCCCGCACTGCCACAGGCTGCGTTCCCCAGGCCCCTGGGCTGCCTAGCTCTGCGCCCAGACGCTTACCATCCAGACACGGGTTGTCGTCGTAGATGGGCTTCACGGTGCCGCTGAAGTACAGCTCGATGTTCCTCTCGACGAGCCCCGTGTCGAAGGGGCACAAATGGCCCTTTTTGTCATAGACGCTGCAAAGAGCAGACAGGCGCTGTTCCCGTGGCAGCGGCTCGGCGCCCTGCGTGCGGCGCGCATGCCCAGGAGCCGACACCAGGCTGCCTGTGCGGGGAAGCCGTCTTGCGGCTAGACCCACGTCTCCCCATGCCATGCAGGAGAAAGCGACCCCCCCGATCCGCCCCGCGCTGCCAAACGACTGTTGGCGCCGCAGTGCAAGAAGCCCGCCCGGCCCCACAGGCCCTACCTGAAGGAGGTCACTTTGTGCTGGGGCAAATCCTCGTAACTTTCAAACCCGTCTTCGTTGGCGTCGAAAATGGACAAGCGCTCGTCCGTCAGCATCTCTGGCTCCTCCAGCTGAGGGGGAGGGGGAGGGAGGGTAAGACATTGGGCCTTTGTGCCCAGCGGCACGGCCGCCTCTCCGAAGCCCGCCACCAAGCTGCTTACCGCGTTGTCGGGATCCCCCTGGAAGAACTTGAGGTCAGGGTCGTCCAGGTACTGCCGGCACTCGACGCACTTGGGAGGAGTGGTCTGCAAGACACATCAGGAGACCTGCCCGTTAACTGCTCTGCCAGCCGCCAGCCTCAGCCCTCCGGCACCATCACCGAAAGACCCCCGCCCACGGCCGGTCCTGAATCCGCCAGGAACGTGGAGCAGGAAGAGTCACCAGCGGCTCACACTGCCTACGACCAGTACCTGGCCCTCCTCTGCCCTAGCCAGGCATGGCACAAGGACTCGCTGCACCCACAGGCGCAGTGTTCGGCTCCCTGGGCCGTTGACATGGCACTGAAAGATCAGAGCTGCGACCACATCCACGCTGCAGCCTGCTTTCTCGACTAGGGACGTAAGCAACTCCTGGAATACTCGACAGGGTGGCCAGGTGTCCGGTTCTCACCCGGACACTCCAATACTCGGGGCCCCGTCCGTTAAGAGACAGAAGACACGGGACATGCAAAATGCCTGGTATTTTCTGTTTTTCCTCGGACAGAAGGCCGGTGGGGACATTCCTCCCCTGCCGCGTCTGGTGAGGGCGAGGGGAGCGGGTGGATTTAAAGGCACAGTGACACCCCCCCCGCCCACTCAACAACTATGGCCCCCGTTTATTTTTTTCCCCTCAACCAATTTCTCTCCCCCGCCATGTTTGGGATTTGTGTGTCAAAGTATCTGGCAACCCTAGTGCTCGACTACTCACTCCCCGCTTGCTGCCTTGTCTCCACGGTGCACAAGGAGGGGGGCAGGGCCACAGGGATCCCACTGCTGGCACCAGCCAGGACTGCTCAGTCCCAGTGCACGCTGGCTCCGGGAGCTGCCCCCGCTGCAGCTCTGCAGTTTAGGTGCCGTAGGAGCTGGGCCGCCTGCGCACTTGGCTTCTGCTACATTTAACTGCAGAGCCACAGCGGGGGCAGCGCCTGCACCCGGCATGAGCCAGGACAGAGCCCCTTCCCCTAACTAATCATGCAGACCACGCGATTAGCCAGCGCTCCGCCTTTTAATGCCCTTACTCCCACGTGCTCCAGAAGCTGGCAGCAGAACTTGATAATTCCTGGGGAAGAGTTAACCGCTTCCCCCAGTGCAGCCCGCGGGAGCCCGTCCCACACGGCCGGGGCTGGCCTCCGCAGTGCAAGCCCTGCGGGCTGGACCGGTCCTCTGGACCCTGCTTAGTCGGGGAAAGGTTAGGTGAACCTAACATGTAGCCGGTTAGCTGACTAATCCGGATTTGAGGGCTCGAGCTCTGACGAGAAGAGGACAAACCACTCACTTTGGCAGGCGGCGCTGTCTTAATCGGAGTAGCTTCATCTTTTATCTCCGGCCTGGGCACAACACACAAGGATGAGGAATGAACACAAGGAAGGAAGGTATAGGTGACAGGCTATTCCGCCACCCACACGGCACTCAACTGTTTGAGACCCCCGAATACAAGCAAACATTTCACTGCCGACGCCCCGCAAAGCCAACGCACCGTCACGGTGCCCACACACCCCAGCACGCCAACCCTCGACCCAGTAAGCAGAACTCGGTCGTCCTCCCGCTCGCCCTGCCCCGCCCATTCTCACATGGCTGCCGGCGTTGGCTGGGAGGGTGTCGCGTGGGGACGAGGTATGGTCAGGGTTTACCACCTGTGCATCTCACCGGGCTTTCCTGCGGGGCTGTCCCAAGCAGGTAAAGGGAGCCACGTGCCCAGCTCTGGGAACGTAAAACTTTCCAAAGCACCCAAGTGACTTGGGGCCTCTCTCAACACGCCTGCTCCCCACTGGTACGATACGGGAGCAGCGTGTCTGGAACCACCAGGTCACGCCAGGATGGACCCTGGTGTGGCTGCAGCTACACCAGGCGTTACCCCAGTACTTGGGAGGCTCTGGATTCAAGCAGCATAGCTCTTCCTGTGGAAGCTCTGACTCCCTTTTGCTGGTTTAGCTTAAGCCCACTTTGGAGGCAGACGAAGCGGGGAAAAGGCACTCCTCCTCTGGGACCAGACCGTCCACACGGGCGTTCCAAGCGCTGACCAGCCTAAGTCCCCATGAGAAAAGCTGCACCAGGACCTCGCACTCACGCCAGGGGCGTGGGCTGTACTGCTGGGACAATGCTAATCCCTCGCTCTTCTACTTTCTCATCTATGCCTGTAACAATCTGGCTTTTCTGTAGCCATGGTGGAAGGGCCTGTGTTAGGCCTGAACCAAAGCCGCCTTCTGCAGCCAGACTGAAGGGCAGCAGCCAGCACTGTAAGGCCTGGAGTCTCACTTTCACAGTCCCATCTAAATTGTATTCAAAAGTGTCACCCCAGGCTGTGAGGAGGGACTTTGCCCTGATCGCTCCCCACTCGCACCAGATAAAGAGACAGATCTCAAGATGGGTAAAGCTGTCTGGCAAGAAGCTGCTTCTCAATAGCGGATGTTGGAGTCCTCATCCTATGAGCATCGTCACTACACTTGCCTGTTGTTTGACTGTGTGATCTCGGTCTGGTTTGTAACTGTTTCTGTCTGCCGTATTAATTAATTTTGCTAGGTGTAAATCAATTAAGGTGGTGGGTCATTATGTTAGGATTGGTTTGTAAAATATTAAAATAATTGGTTACGGTCTAGCTAAGCAAGACTCAGGTTTCATTATATAAACTGGGGTTCAAGAAGGAGAAGAGGAAGATCATCAGGAAAAAGAGAAGGAAGAAAAGGCTGGAAGAGGACCAGGAGGAGGGGGGAAGACCTGGAAAAGAACAACTCAGCTCCGAGACACAGACTGAGACCAGAGAGACTGATATTGCCTGGCCAACAGGGGAAATCTGCCGGCTTGTATCAGGATTGCTGAGCTGACCCTGTGTGCTTAGCATGCACATTTTGCTTGTTTGGGAATAGTCAATCAATAGAGGAGAAGGACATTACTGTGGGAGGCTCTCTCACTGGCGAAAGATCCTGCCAACCCGCCTATTGTTACATCCTGAGCCCTAAGAATTGGGTACGGGTGGGTGTATAAATTAATGGGGCTGCACCTTGAGCCTGGGAACTGGGAAAGGTGTGTCCCTACAGTGTGGAAGGGAGAGAGACATTTGTGCGGGTAACATGCCGAAGCTTTAGGAATCAGTAAGTTCCCAGAGTAACATTTTTCTTGCAGATGCTAAATAGCTTCCAATTCCTGAGCACTCTCTCTGCCTCGCCAGGGTTAGGGTGAGGGCCGACACAGAAACTCAAGGAAACTCGGCTCCAATTTGCCACAACTGACAGATTTCTGCAAAGACAGACAGACACACCCACACGTGTGCACACAATTGTGGGACTGGAAGGGAGCTCGAGAGGTCATCTGGTCCAGGCCCACACAAGCCAGAACATTCAGACGCCTGGTTTAGAAACGTATCAGCCACTCTTACCCTTCTTTGGTTTCAATTTTCATTCTTTTTTCGTCATGCTCCTTGAAGGGAGGAAGGGGAAACAAAGAAATGCGTGTAAGAACTCAATGGCTTTACAAATGAGGCAGCAGAAATAACACGCCCGACCAGCCTAAGGAGATGTCAGAGAATTGGTTTCCTAACCCGGGCCAGGCGTACCTTCTCTTCCAGCTCCTCCTCCTCCTTTTCCGAATTCGTTTCCTGCTTCACTTCTCCGTTCACCTCATCTGATTTGCGTTTGTTGGAGCTGCCGGGGTAAAGGAGAAACCCAACAGAGATCAGGTCTTTGGAAGGAACAAACTGCTTTCCAGGGGCGGTGACAGAGGAACAGACCAAACCAGCAGAGTCCCCTGAAGTCTGTGAAAGCAACTTTAATGGGCTGCCCAAGCCCTGCCAACAGCAGCAGCTACTGTTCCCAAACTGGTCGCAGAACCAGCTAAGCGGTTCTCACCCACTACCCCTTGCTTTTACTAGTCACGTCTGAGCAGCACCCAGAGTCAGGGTCCCATATACAAATACAGGAGACACTCACCCTCTAAACAGACAAGGGGTGGGGGAAGTGACTTTGCCACGGTCACAAGGCAAGCCTGTGGCAGAGTCGGGACAGCGACCCACCCGCTAGCCCACTCCCGACCTCACAGAGATCAGCTGACTTCCCGCCCTAATAAGTGTAACTACGTCAAGCAAGCTAATGTGTGTGTTATATGCACGGCTTGACAAACGGCAGCGAAACCTACTCGCCAGCCCTGTACTGCGCACGCGCACGACCCGCATTGCACACGCGCACGCCGCCGGTGAACGGGGCGACCGGCCGAAGTCTACTCGCCCGGGGGGAGTAGATTCGGTGATATTTGTCGAGCCCCGGTTATATGGCATTACCAGCGCCCCAGCCACGGGTCAGGGCCGCAGGCAACCAAGGAACCGCGTCTCCACCTCGGAGTGGCTTGGGCGGCCCGACCGCGCAGGGCTGCGGGACGTACTGACCCTTTGGCAAAGAGCGCCAGGATGGTAGGCTGCCTGCCGGAGCTGCGCGTGACCCTCGAACTGGCGGGGG